GGGGGGGGAGGGAAATAACTAAAGATATTTCTCTTTGTTGCTAAAACAGAAATGCTATCTGAGATGGGTCTTGAAGCTTCCACACCTGCATGGATTTCTTGCATTTCCTCTGACTGCAGTGTGAGATGGCTTGAAATTATCAACAGCTGCCACCCTTACCTACTCAGAATTGAGCAGGGATTTCTAACAAAGAGTAGTTGGTGATAACGCCTGCAAGGACAATACAAGGGAGGAACTTGGCTTCCCAATGGCCTTAACCACCTCTGCGTGGTATCTCTCACCCAGCACTAGAAAGGCACTAAGGAACTGTAGTTAGAAATGGTCCAGCTGGGTGGACAGGTGAATGTGGTGGAGACAGAAAGATAACTTGGGGCTTGTGCTGCTGCTGATGGAAGGGTCTCATTGATGGGTGTCTTAGGGGAGATTTCTGCTAGGCTGGCATTGGCCTGTGGCAAGCAGTGTTTGATAGGGAGTTGAGAAATTGCTGGGCTCCGTTGCCAATGAGAGAAAATGGCCTCAGGAAGGATTACAATCAGGATCCCCAGGGAACTAGGAAGTGCTTATTATGGTGTACATGTGAATGTAAGCACGCAACTGTGACTATGGGATCAAGACAGAAGAAATACGGTTCTCCTTTTCTGCCCACAGCCCTTTTCAAAAGACAGATGGGAAATTAATGATATGAGAAATTTTAAAATGTACAAAGCAAAGCCTCCAATCCAATGTTAAGGTAAGATTTATTTTGATGAAACATCAAAAATTCAAAGTGTTGGAAGTCAGCATTTCTGAGCCGCGGATGATGATGGTGATGGTGATGCCAGTGATGGTAAAAGGGAAGGGGGAAGGATGGCATTGGTAGTGATTTATCAGGATTATAATGGCTTAGGGTGCAATGGCAGTGGCAGCTACATCTACTGGGTGATTATCACATGCCGAACATGATGAGAAGAACTCCACATACATCACCTCTGTTAGTCTGAAAAATTACCCGATGCAACAGGCACTATCAATTGACCCTAATTTTTCAAATGAAGATAATAAGTGAGGGAATTATTATGAAAACTCATCAGGGTCAACTACATGATACACGGTGGAGCTAGAATCTGAACTCAGACGATCTTATGCTAGAAGAATTCTAAGCTGAGTGCTGAATGCCCTTCCCCGTGTAAAGACTCAAAATATGCTACTGTCGTCAACACAATGGATAACGGACGATGGGAAACCAAGACTCCGTGAAACTAGGGTTCTTCCCCTAAAAACCAGAATAGTAAGTAGCTTAGTTAGAATTTAAACTCAAGTTCCAAATCCTGAGCTGTTCCCACTGCACGTGTGACAGCCATTTGCCACTTGGCCGTGGTTTGGGGCCCTGGATTGGGCATCAAATGTGGAACAGGCTAAAGTCCCTGGAAATAGTTCACCTTGTATGACTGGCTCAACCGAACAGGCTCATAAAGGGGACGGCTTGATACATTGATCTGCAAATGCCGTAAGTCATCTTTGTTTTCTACAAGAACTTCAATTCTAGGATGATGTCCGGTGCTATCCTGATGAATGACTCTTGTCACCCTCCGTTCATGCCTCAGATTGCTCCAGGCAAGGCTGAGCATGGGAAATACAACAGCAGCAGGAAGACGGAAACCGCAAGGGGAATGGTCCCAAGGAGCCTGCCCGTAATCTCCAACTCCTCTCTTTGCAGGAACATTGACTTTGCCTTTAATTCATCAGGTCCCCAGATAGCTTTGCAAGACTGAATTTTCACCAGCATGATGTATTATTATGTGCCATTGTCCTGATATAAAATGTAGCCAAGTATACAGTGTGTTAAGTTCTTTAATCATAAAATCTATGAACAAAATGCACTTTCAAACAGCATATTAGCTCTCAGGAACTGTCACCGTAACTTATGCATGGGCTGAGCCTGTTTCTGGGGCAGCCTCCGAACCCCATTTATGACCAGTGAAAACTACTTACCATTTTAATGGTTCTGGCCACACTGTGCATGGACTAAGAAAAGCCGCTCCGTGAGTCTGGCTTGTCAGGCCAACACATTTATAGAAAACTAGGAAAGTATTTGAAAATTGAACACATTTGTCAAGGAGTGACCTTAGAGATCATGTCTGGGTAACAAGGTGTACTTCCGTCTCCTGAGAAGGTTGGCTTCATCAGCTCCTCTTTCTTTCCATCAAATCAGATGTATTGAAATTCGAGTGCCCAAAGCTACGCCGAGCAAATCTAAGTACACCTCTCACAAAGTAGTTGCTGATGGAATCTGAAGTGACTCCGGGGTGACAAGTCACACGGCTGCAGCACGGCTGCAGCACAGAAGCTCCTCGGACGTGAGAGCTGCTTGCCTTTGGACTTGGAATTGCACTTTCCGCGTGGAAATGGTGCGGGCACCATCACCGGCCGAGACAAGGAGGCCTGGGTTATCTCACATCATCTTATTTCAAATCCGGCTGGCTTTTTTTTTGCCTTTTTCTGGCGGGGAGGCGCTTCTTAGTTCGGCATCTCAGCTGTGTTTAATGGGTGACCTCTTTGGATCTGCTGAGTACAGGCAAAGGCAGTGACGTTTCGATGAAAGCATTCCAGCACCTGGACGGTGTTTCACTGAGAAATCATCAGGGCGGCCCGATCCAGGCCTCTCAGAATGTCTGTTTCCATGAACGTACAGGAAGGGTTGGCCAGCCCCGCATCCCACTGGGATGGTGTAATTAATAAGATCACATGACCACTCCCCTCCAGCCCTACCTCCCAACATATGTCAAAGGTCATGCATCCACAAGGGAAAATGAGATGGAAGACGGACGCCAGGCAGAGAGAGATGCTACAAACACTGGGCAGAGAGCTCAGGCAAGGAAGGATGGGGCAAACGTAGGGAATGTGGCATCAGACGGGAAGAGCAAGCATGAGGGTGGGGGTGGGGGTGGGAACAACAAGGACAGATACCTACCCAGACCTGTGCTATCTAGCTACCGGCCTGTGGACTTATATTATCACCACTGGGCTCCCCACTGGGCTCCCCAAAGGGGTCGCTGTTGGATGAGGCCTGTGATCCATCAGGCTAGAACACAAGAAGATAACACCTTTTTTTTCCAGCAATTGAAAATAGAAGACAGTTGGGCATAGTTTCATGCAGCGGATAAATCAGTTATCTTAAAAGGATGGGGGTGACCCCAGTGAGATCATGCTACACCCAGAGATGCAAGAACGGGTTGTTAACGACTCAAAAAAAGAACAGTTTCCAGCGGACTTGGGTGAACAGAGACTCAAAAGCCCCGTTAGCAGCTCCTCTGGAATTCTCAAACCTGAGTCGGCATTGTTTGCCTGTGTAGATTGTGGCATGCACGGTCCCTCTCAGAGCTGACGGGTGTAATTTAGGGAGGGGGAAAGCCTGAAGCAATGAGGTAGCCACTTACTGCTTCTTGCTCTTCGCTTTTGCTGGGACTTTCAAAGCCCTCTTCGAAGATGTCGTCCGTGGTGGGATCGCTGGCATGGGATGCAGATGATTTGGATGGAGAGCTCTGTCTGGGGGCTGGGGTTGGAGCTACACAGAGAGCGTGCAGAAGAAAGAGGAGAAGACCCTTTCAATGAAATGCGGCCACCCTTTGTATTCCCCCAGCACCTCAGGGACCCGACTGAGTCCGGTCGCAGGACTTGCCTTTCCGAACTCAAGATAAATCAAGTGAACATTTCCATCACTGCTGTGCACAGAACTGTCTTATCCTCTCACACACTTGATCTCATGGACGGACCTTAGTAAGGTTGTGCTGTGCAGGGGATGGTCCCAGGGCAGTAGCTTCAGCATCATACAGCCACTTTTTAGTAATATGGAAGGGCGCTTCAAGGAACATTGAACAATAAGGGAATTTTCTCTTAAATCGTTTGAAACCCCTTGTACATCCTCCAAGTGATAAACGCTGCTTCTATAAGCCCTTCAAGTGAGTCTCATGCCTGCTCTAGTTTGGGAGCCATGGGGGCTCTCTGACTTTCTCCCTCCTCTCCCATGTCACCCGATGAGTACACTAAGAGAACATCGATCAGAGGGCAACAACAGCCATTGTTGAGTGCCTTCTAGGTGTTAGGCACTGTTAGAGAAGTCTCAGATACTACCTCTAATCGTCATCAAGAAGGAAAGTGGAGGCTGCTAAGTGAACCACCTAGCTAGTGATGGGTAGGGGCCAGGTTTTGAATCTGGACATTCATCACAGACATTCTGCACATAACAGAAGTTCTAATAGAATCTGGACATGGCAGACACTCGTTAAGCAACCCCCCACTGCAGAACAAGTGCCTTAGACCTTTGCCCATTGGACTCTAGCCTTGGACTGTGTGAGTGAGCTTTGAAGTCAGAGGCGGCAGACCATAGCTCCACAGCTGGTCCTTCATTTTTCAAAGTATATAGCTATGGGTTTGCTGCGTTGAGAGAGAAAAATAAAGGTTTCTACTCCTGCACAGATTTACAGCCTCAGAACCTCCCAGGGTGGGTTCTAGCTACACTGTCCTACGAGTTTGCACGAGTCAGAATGAACTCAATGGCAGGAAGGTGGGTTTGGAGTTTGGTCTACTGACTATCCAATTGCCCCTCTTCTCCTTTGTTGCAGAGATTTGTAGCAAGTGGGTCATAGGCAACAAGTCAAGCCTCACTCGTCTCTAATTTGGTATTGAAAACACAGTCCTTGGTTCAGTTCCAAGCGAGAAGGGAGTCTGGCGTGGCTTTGTAGTGGAATTTCAAATGCCATCACTAGGGTCTCTCTGCCTGACTTTTCAGAATGCAGGTCATCTGAGTGCTTAACAGACAGTGGCTTACCACCATCGAGCTTGATGCCCACCTTTGATCCCAGTGAACTCACTTTTAAAGTAATGACATGATTTACCTTGTGCCAAGCAGAGAGACACTGTGCGCGGCACCGCTCCTCATAGTTCACGATGTTGTCTAGCATAACGCATGCTGCCACACATCGTGAGCATGTGCGTATGTATCTGTGAGTGTGTATGTGTGTGCACATACATGTGTTCTTCCCATGAAAACACTGCAGCTCTGAGGGGCGAAGCAGCTTGCTCATTGCTCTTGCACAGCTATGAGAAGGCGGCACTGCCTTTAACCAGGTCTCACTGCCATCGAGTCGCTAGGAGTGACTGAGGCAGGGTATAGGACAGGATGGAACTGCACCTGTGGGTTTCTGAGACCACAAGTCTTCACAGGAGGAGAAAGACTCATCTTTTCCCCAAGAAGCAGCTGATGGTTTTGACCTCCCAGCCTTGTGGTTAGCGGCTCAGTGCCCAAGCACTGGATTGAAATGAGACAAGCTATTTGAAAACACAGGTGTTTAATAGAGGGCAGCCGCAGAGTCCTTGCTCATGGACTGGAATGCCTGCCGGGCGGCTGTCCACAAAGCCAGCCCTTTGACCGCACCAGCCACCTGGAAGAAAACCTGAGGCTGTCTGCTTCTGTAGAGATTCACAGACTCAGAAACCCAACGGTGATGGCAGTGAATTGCATTTTGAGTTGTGTTTGCAATCTTAAGCGTCTTGTGTATTAAAAGGAACCCCAGTGGCCCTGGCAGGGAGGTACTGGGCTCCCAACTGCACGGGCTGCCATTCAAACCCACCACCTTCTCCTGTACAGGAAAGGGTGAGACTGCCTGTTCCCATAAAGACTGAGCACCTTGAAACCTGACACAGGGCCTCTCCGAGTTAGGCTGGACTTGATGGCAGTGGGTGTATTGCTTGCCAAAGGCTGAGCACCCCTGCTGCGCTGCCAGTTCTGATAAGTACATTGCTCCTATAGAAATATATTTTTAATGAACTCATTAGGAAATGCAACAAGTGAGTTTGTTTCTGAGCATGCCTTAACCTTTCTACGCTTCCTCCGTATTCTCACTCTGGGGGAGATTTCCCTCCCAGGGGACATTTGGAGGCTGTTTTGGTTGTCACCCCTCCGTGGGTGGGGCTGAGCTACTGGCATCTACTGAGTAAGAGGGACGGTTCGACACGAAACCTTCTACAATGCAAGGGACATACCCGGAAGGAAGGGAAAAAAATAGCTGATCCAAAATGTCCAGCGTGTCAAAAGTATTTTGAAACCGTGATCTAAACACCGAGTGGCCTTTGCAAGTTCACTCCGCTCGTAATGTGCTTTCCCCATTGCCTGCAGGTGTGCAGTCCCTGGCTAGCATTTTGAGAGGTGTAGGACTGGCTGCCAGCTGGAATCGACTTGATAGCAAGGGACAGGCATGATTAAGATGTGCTTCCCTGTCCTCAAAGAGCTTGCGCTTCCCCTTTCATTTGGAGCTGCACACAAACTCATTGGGTGGCAAACGCTCGTCCTTTACAAGAAGCTTGCTTATGCATGCACGGCTGTCATTTCACCAGCACCTCACTCTACAAGTTCATTCGTCTCCATTGGCGCTCTCTGTGCGTTAGCGCGCCCAGAGATGCCCCGCTATGTAGATGATGAGGCCAGGGGGAAGGAAGGTTGTTTACATACAGGAAGGCATTCCTTTTCAGAAGAGCATTCCAAACCTGGCTGAAATGACACAATCGAATTGTGTTAACATGAAGGGTCCCCTCCGCCCCCTCCCTTTTTGACAGTTCACAGTATTGGCCATGCAGCGATCCGTGTCCACTGTGACAGTAATGAAAACACAGAACGCATCGTACCAAGGGCCTTTTTGTTTCCCCTTATCAATTGTCAAGGTGCAGGCCGCAATCGCGTCCACCAAACGCGCGCGCACACACACGTAAGGGTCCGTGGATTCTAATTTGGCTGCTGTGTGACTGCTTCCCAGGCAGCTGGTGGTAGAAGCATGATTTAGGGTAGAATCACTGAATGCCAGAACTGGAAGTAGGGACCCGGCTCATCCAAGCACATTCGCTTATTTTCCTGAGGACACAAGGAGCCTTGGCAAGTCACACGCTTGCTGAGGGACACAGCGTGGGGGAAGGGTTTCAGGACTAGAATCGTGGTCCAGGACTCTGCACCAAGCGCTGGGTGTGATGACATGACAGTGGTGGGCCTCACCCTTGAAACGGCGTGAGGTAATAGCAGCTTAGTACTAAACTCAGGTTCTGTATCATAAATTCATGGAGTAACCCTCAGCCTGAGATATAAACCAGGGACTCGTGAGTCTATTCCAGTTCATAGCACCCTCGTGTGCATCAGAGCAGAAACCAGCACTTCTGAGGGGTTTCAATGGCTGTGATTTGGGGAAGTCGATCATAAGGTCTTCCTTTTGTGGGCCCTCTGGGTAGATTTGAACCCTCAACGTCTCAACCAGTCATTGAGTACTTTACCCTTTATGCCACCAAGGGACTCTTTAGCATTGGACAGGGCTAATGAAATAAAAATGACTTGTACACAGGTAAAAATCTAGTGTGTAATTAATTTCTAATTACAAATTTTTGTGATCCCATTTTCCCCTTTATTGATTAATAGAAGCTTGAAGCCAGAATCTAGCTTCAACTTTGCAGTAGTCTAGAACTTTATGACTACTATACCTCTGTCCTAAGGTATTTCTTGAATTAAGTTTCTCATCATTTCTCTTGTAAATTTTAGCGTGTATATTCATCATTGTTTCAGTGTCAGTAAGCCGTATTCAAATCGGTGCATCTTTGTGGATTAGGGAATGTATGAATGATCAAACATGTAAAAGCTTACGAGGCAGGGCAGCCTGCTGGAAGGAAACTCAACAGCCTGTTCTGCTATTAACAGAATTAACAGCTCTATTCACTGCTACCACCTTGTCTATTGTCTTTGAACTTCATGATCTATAAAGGAGATCTGAAAAAACTGGTCAGAAGCAAGGTTAGGCGTATTAAAATAGTACATATCAAGCTCATGGAAGAGACGTGTGTCATGATCAGTACCTAATGGCTGGTGCTGTTCGCAGCAGTGACCAATAGTGATGACCATCAGTAATGGGGCAGTGAACACACTCAGCTGCAGCCCAAGCGTGTACAGGTCTGAATCTACCCAGAGGCACTGAAAGAGAGGTGGCAATCGACTCCCCCCAAAACAGCTACTGCAAACCCTACAGAGCACAGTTCTACTCCTACGCAGCCGGGGTTGGAGTGGACTCAGTGGCAGCTGGTAGTTGTTGTATCAGCAGCAGCAGCAGCAGTTGGATATAACTGAGGGGAGTTTTAGGACTCTGGACCCCAGGTATCACATGCTTTGGGTTTTATATCCCAAATGAAGGGCAACTCACGTGAGTTGGTCGACGGCGTGGTAGAAGTCACAGGGGTCAAATTCAACTGGGAAATGTCGAAGTCATCACAGTCATCCGTATCCTGTGCCACCCCGACTTTGCTGAAGTAACTGGAGAAGGCCTCTGAGGTGCAGGTGAGGGAGGGCTGGTCGGGTTTGCGGGACGGCACGGGTGGAGGCTGGGCCATCTGGAAATCCTTAAATATTTCCTTCCCCATTTTCTGTCTGGCCTTGTCGGCCTGCGGACTGGACCTGGCGGAGTCACTCGTGGCTGGGACAGTTGCAAGGGGGGTCAGGGGGCCTTGGAACATGGCGGCTGGCAAAGGCATAACAGTTGGCGTGGGCATGAAGGCGGCTGGCGGGAACTGCCCGGCAACAGCTGGCCAGGGCTGCTGAGTGGCAGGGAAGAGCCCCGGCTGGCCCCAAGCGATGGGCTGAGCCCCCGGCATCACCTGAGCGACTGGTGGCTGAGCACCCATGGCGATCTGCTGTTGGACGAGGGGCTGCTGGCCCCAGAAGGATGGGAGGACGGCGCCCATTGCAACATAACCTGGAAGCGAAAATGAAGAGTCAGGCATCCTGGAAAAGAATGAGTCACGGGACTAGGCAAAATGTACCATGCTGGTCTGTGTGCTAGGGACCAAGGGTATAATGGTGAGTGACACAAACGCTCCTGCCTTCATGAGGTCTACCTTCTAAGGGGAATATCCAGTCCTTGGGGCTGAGGGGTCAGACACCAGCTAACAGTAAATGCCTGAACCAAGAGGAGCCATTCCCGCCATCACCCCCCACACAAAGAGCCAGCACCACAAAACTCACTGCCATCGAGTCGAAGCTGACTCCTAGTGACCCTACAGGAAAGGGTAGAAATGCCCCTGAGTTTCTGAGCCTGTCAGTCTTCATGGGAGCAGAAAGCTCCGTCTTTCTCCTGCTGAACTGCTGGTGGTTTTGAACTGCAGGCCTTGCCATTAACTGCCCAAGAGTAATCACTATGCCACCTGGGTTCCTCCAATACACTAGCGGTGAGTCAATTAACTGTTTGACCCCTTTGGCCCACAGATGATCTTATCAATACCCAAATGGCCCTTGGCAGACACAGCCCTGCTCTAGAGGGTGGAGAACAGAGGACAGGTCAGACAGAAATAAAGGTCAAGCTGGCAGCAGGGAGATGGAGGGAACTAAGGAAGGCTGGGTAGGGCACCAGGCCAAAGCAAGAGCAATTCTAGATGGTTTGGGGCAGGATAATGGGTAGGAGAGATCCTCTCTTAGGGAATGCTTCACAGGCAGTAACTACAATGTAGTGAGAACGCAACCCCTTCAGATACCCAGGGGATGTGTTGATCTTTCTACAGTTGTTAAGTAGGGGGTCAGTGTACAAGAGAGAGCCTCAAAGAGATGGACTGTCATGAAGGTTGCAACAACAGGCTCAAGCACAGGAACGATTGTGAGGCAGGTGAAGGGCTGGCTGTGCTTCATCATGAGTTGGCACTGACTCAATGGCACCTGACAACAGTCACAACCGTGAAAAGCTCCTCCGTCAACGGGTGCTCAGCGGAAAGAGCCGCAGGGCAGGGAACCAGGCAGCCGTGAGTTTGAATTTTCCCTCTCCTTCATGCTGGGCTCAGGGGATTCATGTTTCTAAGATTTAGGCTCTTTGTTACAAAGCTAGGTTGTAGTATTTTTTTTCTCCTTAGCAGTGAGGGAGTGTGCAAAGTGAGGGGGAGTCAGAATTTTGAAATTGTAAAGGCCAAAGTTAAGGAACCCTGGGGTTGCTGTTGAGTAAGCATTGGATTGCTAACCATAAGGTTGGCAGTTCAAACCCACTAGCCATTCCTAGAGAGAAAACGAGGCTAACTGTTTCCATAAAGACCGACTGCTTCAGAAACCTTATCTACATAGGGTCACTCTGAGTAGCAATTAGTCCAATGCAGTGGGTTTTGTGTTTTGTTTTAGAGGCCCAAACGGAACTTCCAACGTGTTATTTATGTAACGTAGGGAGAGATTTTTAACATCTAAGGCACTGGTTTCCTTATCTCTGAAGTGGGCATAAAACATCTCCGATCTCATTGGGTTGGTCTGAGGGTTAACCAACCTGACGTATTTCAGATATTGAGTTCTGTGCCTGGAAGGGCACCTCATACGGTGGTATAGGGTGGGCACAGCATTACTCTAGGGTGGGCACATAGTCCACGACTATGAAAATGGTTGGCTGTATCACTGCTTTCAGATGAGAGATGTGCTAGAATAAAACCAAACCCTTGGCCATCAAGCGGGTCCTGACTCCTAGGGGCCCTATGCGGAGTTTGAGATTAGAAAGCTGTACAGTAACAGGTAGCCTCGTCATGGAGAGGCTGGTGGGTTTGAACCACTGACCTTGAGTTGAGCAGCCCAGTGCTTACCCTACTAATTTCCACTTAGCTAAAACCTACCAAGTGCCAGGTGTAGTATTAGGTGCTTGGTATCACGAAAATCCCCGCAGAGCAGCCGTGATCCAGTTTTGGGGGATGAACAAATTGGTGCTCAGAGAGGAAAAGCACTAGCTCAGGGTCATACAGTTGGCAAGAAGGTAGGGTCAGCGTTTGTCCAAGGTCACCTCCTCACCAATGCCATCCTTCCCTCGGGGCGCTCTGGGGACTTGCATGTGCAGTGAGTGGGCTCTGGGAAACAATGGCCGGGCCACGGAACAGAGGGTGGGGGTGCTAGCTCTGCCAGACAGCCCCAAATAAGCACCTTTATGGTCCTCCGAAGGATTCTGCAGGTGCAGTTACAGTGAGACCAGAACAAAGAGGAGCGAGGATGCAAATTAGTCAAGGGATGACGGGAGGTGCTATGGCCCTGATTCTATCACGAGTCACGCCAACCACTCTGGTGACTTGCCTGTGCTCAGCCTGTGGCTTCTCAAATCCTTTCAACCCTTGGGATCCAAGGGCAGCAACTTCTCGTGTTAGACTGACAAGCTGACACTCAAAGGCAGGCCATGTCCTTGCGAGGTGTCCATCTTGTGGCTCACGGCCACCCTGTTCTGAGGCGAGGCCTCAGCAGGGCAGAGACAGGACGTATGGCTCCCTGATGATGCCCCTGGCAGTGTCAGAGGCTTTTATGCAATAAGGCAGAGGGATCAGCAAACGAAACAGAACTGCCCTCCAACCTCGCCTTGGCTCAACTGCGCTGGACTGAGACAGGCAAGGAGGCATTGATGGTCACTCGCATTGAAACCTCGGGCTGAGTTTGCCTCACCTCTCCTAACGATCCAGTGACCTGACCCGGACAATAACCGATTCACCAACTTTGCTCTTCTTTCTGCTTTGCTGCATGCAATCCACAAAGTCCACAGTCAACCACCAGCCGCTTCAAGTGAGAAAGATGGGGCATTCTACTCCCAAGAGGAGGAGTTAAAATCTTGGAAACTCATAGGGGCAATTGTACCCTGTCCTACATGGTCCCTGTGAGTCAATGGCAGTGAGCTTGGTTTGGTTTCTGGTTTTGCTTTGGTGAGGCTTAGTGGTTTTCAGTGGAAGTGATACTGCCCACTAGAGGGTGATTGGAAAACTTTTGAGGCAATGATTTACGTTTGGGCTGCTAACGGCAAGGTCATCAGTTCAAAACTACCAGCTGCTATGGGAAAAAGATGAGGCTTGCTCCCCCTGTAAAGAGTTGCAGGCTCAGAAACTCACAGGGATAGTTCTACCCTGTCCTACAGGGTCGCTCTGAGTCAGAATCACCTCCTTGGCAGTGAGCTGGTACGAGCATAAAGTTGTCAGTTTAAGCCCACCCAGTGCTCTCAGAAGAGAGGCCTGATGCTCTACTTCCACCACAAGGAGAGCCAAGAAAAGCCCAGGACACGGTTCCCTCTCTAACGCTGGGCACCCCGCGAGCTGGAACAGACTTGACGGCGACGGGTTTGGGTTTCCTGTCTTGGGATTTTGGGTGGTGGTGGTGGTATAGTGTGGTTTTTGTTGGTGGTGGTGCTGTTCAGATAGGGCAAACATTTCACACACTTGGCTAATAATGGAAAGGCTGGAGGTTCAAGTCCACCTAGTGGCACCTTGGGAGAGCGCCCTGGCAAACTATTTCCTGAAAAATCAGCCACTGACAACTCTCTGGAGTACAGGTCCGTTCGGACACCGGGGGTCTCCGGGAGTCAAAATGGACTCAAAGAAATGGCTGCACTGTCTTTCTCCAAGTGCACAGTGAAGCCTTGAATCCCACAAGTGCTCTGATCTCTCCTATTGGGGACAGGTTTCTTCCCCCCACCCCTTCCCTCCTCCTTCCCTCTCTCTCTTACTCGCTCGCTCACTAGAACTAACAGATGGGCTGTGCACACTTTTCTGGAGAGAGTTATTAGCATGTCTCTCTGGCTTCATGCCATCTGCTCCAGACCAAAGTACAACACTCACAAGAAAGAGAGGCAGCACAGGGTAATTGAGTATCATATTGGGGGTGAGGGGCGTGTGGGGCTCATCGTCTTTTCCTGGGAAGGAGGGGTCCTGACAGTCTGGCTTCTCCCTTGGCCCGTGACCTCTGAGCTCAGGCTCTCAACCTAGTGGCGTCGTGGGTGTCCTGAGGAGACATCTCTGTGGCAGGGCTGTGAAATCATCCGACGAGGGGAGCCACTTGGTGGCTGTCACTACAGCCACTTAACAGCTTATTAACCGTTTACTCATTAATGCTCCCCAGCAGAGGGCGGGGGGCCAGGGAGCATCTGTTGGTGCCAGGAGTTCAGAGCCGTCAGAGCTCCCCTTGCCGGGAGAATGCACCCGTGTGACGGCCTGGCAGTGAGTTTTCGTGCTTTAAGTGTGCCGAGTTGTAATTTGTAACCAATGCTAGCATCTGGGGACTGCCTGCATTCTTTGAGAGAAAAGGAGGAGGAAGCAGACCTAGATCTACGAAAAAACACTTCAAACGACAGCACTCCTCTCCTTTCTAATATTTACACTGAAGCTATGTGGTCCCTGCTACCTACCCTATCTCATTTGATTGCTTGATTGATTCAAACCCAACCCTACTGGTTATCAGGCATTGTTTTCATCCTGGAGACGCAGCAAAGAACAAAACAGTCAAACCTCTGTCGAAGTGGAGTTTACACTCGACTGCAGTGGAGCCTGGCAACCAGCCTCCGGGGCGGCTGGTCCCATTCTCTCTTTCATCGGTACTTGGATATGAGAGGTAGCCCCAGGGGGACACAGCCTACCACTGTCGTCTAGTTTTTCAGTGACAGAGCGCAGGGTCTGCTAGAACGCGCAGCAAACACTATGGGAATTCCTGAGGAGAGTTGATCGGTCCGTGTTCTCAGGCACTACTTCAAAGGCTGGAGGTCTGAGCTGACCCAGAAGCGACTTAGAAGAAAGGATTGGCCATCCATGCCCGGCAACCCGGCCACTGACAACTGGAGAGTGCACACGGCTACTCGGACGCACACAGGCCTCTTGGGAGTTGGATTGACCGGATGGCAACTGATTTGGTTGAACAGCTCCAGGAAGGAGATGATCTATTGTTCCCATTCGATAGGGGGGTTCTAGATCAGATCCCTGCGGCTCCATGGAGATTTAGCTGCAGCTGGTCGAGGATAGAACCTGGCTTCACGCTTGCACGTCCTCCCTACAACCCAGACCTCCTCTGTTGTGAGGGTTAGGGATTAGTTGGTTAGACTCCCCTGGGTAAGGGTAAGGGCAGAGCTCAACCTATCCAAAAGCCTGATGACACATTGGTGTCATAAGCCTTTTTGTGTAAGAGAGAGGAGAGAGTTGAGAGGAGAGAAGAGAGAGAGAGAGAGAGAGAGAGAGAGAGAGAGAGAGAGAGAGAGAGAGAGAGAGAGAGAGAGAGAGAGAGAGAGAGAGAGATTGGAGAGAGAGAGCAAGGCGAGTCAAATCCTTTGGCACTTCACCTTCTGCCAGGGCTAGTTCTTCCATCTCCGGTTGCATCCCCTGCTGATCCCAGGAGCTGCCAGAGGACTACTGTAGACAGCGGATTCATTTGGCCCACTTCAGACTTATTGCATCTACCAGCCTGTGCTCTCTGCTTCGTCATCCTGTCTGGTCCCTTGATCTCCTGTGGCATCACCTGCTGACCTTAAGAGGTGTCGGCAGACTACACTGACTTGAATCAGACTGGATTTACCTATTTCTACAACTGTGTACGCTGTATCTAGAGATGGTTTGGTTTCTCTAGAGAACCCAGCCTAACACAATTGTCAAGAGGCCAAAGACCTAAACTTTTTTTTAATTCTAAGAAAACAAAGGTAGGACAGGCCCGCTTTCCTTCAATGTCAGATATTTTGAGGCATCATGGTAACAGCAGCAGTTTCCACACCAAGTGTCTAAGAGGCAACGGCATTTTTCAAGGCACTTAACTTTATTTTCTCATTTAACCCTCATGATAGTGTTGTAAGGGAAGTCTGATTTCCCACTCAGTTATATAGAGCAAGGGGATCTGGCTCTGTCAGGTTAAGTAAATTTCCAGGGAGTCAACAACTTATTAAAACACGATGGAGCCAAGATTCTAATGCTGTCTATCAGATTCAAAGGCCCACAGAAGCGGGTCCATTGTACTGCCTAGCCCAGTGCATTCCCCAGTTTCTTTATCAAGACCTGGCCCCTAAGTGACAGGTAGAAGGAGACATAAGAGGTGTAGAGATTTCTCAGGCCAGTTAGGGCAGGGAATAAGCAGATAGCTGCTCATCACCCACAGGAGTCTGGTTTTGTTCAGCAGCAACATTTAAATGGATCGAGAAAGCAAAGCTAAGTGGATGTGCATGAGTGTTAGCCTTATGCCTTGAGGATGGAGACCTTGGCAGGAATCTGCCCACTGGTTGAACAGCTGAGGAAACCAAGTCTGGAGACAAAGGGGTAATTGCCTAATAGCTTTGGAAAGGGCTGAACACGTCGCAAGACTGAAACTGGGCCCGTCAAGGCTCATACCTGGCACAGGTGGAGGACGAGGTCCAGGCCAGTGCTGTGCCTGGCACAGGCAGGTCTTTAGGAAAATTGAGTCACATTTGAGGACTGGGAGAGATGCAAGATGTTACCTTATCCCTGCTCTCATTTATTGAAAAGGAAATTACTGACTTGAAGGTGAAGCCATTCCACATTGTGGGATACTCTGCAGCTTGCCACCAGGCTGGCTCCCTGCTGGCCTTTTCTACTCCCCTCCCATCACATCCCTCCTTGAGCCCCCGACCACCGAGCACACCTGGCTCCCATGCTCACCATCTGCCTGAACCTCAAATCCCTATGCTCTTCTCTACCTTTGCTGTTTCCCATATTACTCACCCATCGCCAGAGTGCGCCCAGGGTGGTGCAAACGGTGCCCACCCTGTTACCGCACTGGAATACAAAAGCCCTGGTGGTGTAGTGGGTTACCCCCTGGGCTTCTAACTACAAGGTCAATGGTTCAGAACAACCAGCTACTCCAGGGGAGAAAGATGAGGCTGTCTACTCCCATCAAGAATTACAGTCTCAGAAACTGACAGGGGGATTCTACTCTGTCTTACAGGGTCGCTTGAGTTAGACTCGACTAGGTGAAGTGAGTTGCATTGAAAGACTGGAAGTTCAATTCCACCCAGAGATAACTCAAAAAGAAGGCTGATGATCTACTTCTTAAAAGCCAGCCACGGAAAACCCAAACGAGAGCAGTAGCTCAGGTCTATTGCCACCCGTGGCGTCACTGTGGGCTGGATGGCCACCAGTTTCCCTCACTCTCCAGTGCATTGCTGAAGTTGTGGTTGTTGGATGCTGTAGGGTCGGTTCCAACCCATCGCGGCCGAAACCACAGAACAAAACACTGCCCAGTCCTGTGCCATCCTCACAAGTGTTCCTACGCCCGTGTCCACAGTGGCAGCCACTGTGTCCACCCATCCCCTTGAGGGTCTTTCTCCTTGTCCCGGTTCATCGACCTCACTGAGCATGCTCTCCTTCTCCAGGGACTTCTCCAACATGTCCAACGTATAGAACACAGGTGCTGCCATCCTCACCTCGAAAGAGTCCTCTGGCCACACTAGGGCCTTACATCTTGTTATAGGTAACAAAAGTTACATATGGTTATGCTGACTGCCCTCTTCACAAGACCTCTCTGCAGGTAAGAGTCTCCATCTGTCGCTGCCTCTGATGGGCTACAAGCATTTAGAACGGGTCCTGAGACGTGACAGACCCTCGGTGAATATTCATGAAATTCAACACAGTTGTGAATTGTTTAAGTTCAGTACCTGGAGAACTCATGAGTTACTCTAGCACTTTTTTTATTCATTAATAGAAAGCATGGGTATTCTAAACACAAACGAAGAGCAGAGAAGGATAGTGCATTTCTGATGAAAAAATAGTTGTTCTTACGTGAAACTATAATACTATTACACAATTCCCAAGGAGATCTTAATCTTTGAGGTAAGGGAAATTAGTCATTACTACCATTCCGTTTTAGAGATGGGGAAAACAAATTCAATTGGGAACCCTCGCGATTAACTGAATGTTTCGGCTCCCTACAGAGTTTAAATGGTAAGTGAGAGCCGGGGGCTGCTGAGCTCTGTTCCTTCTGAAACTTCAAAATGATCCTTTGGCTCAGAAGGAATAACTATAACTATTTCAGGGCAGGATATAAATTTTTAATTTACTTTGAATAAAAGCAAGGTTTATGTTTTGGTGGCAAGAATTTGCTTCTGATACTATGTAATTAAAAGCAATTATTTATAGAAAAAAGTGCAAGAACATTTGTATTCTAAAAGATTCAAACTCTATTTACCATTTATAAAAATAGAATAGAGAAAGATGATACTACAGATTTCAAATAGGTGGTTAAAGAAAAAAGAAGAAGAAAACTCTTTTAGGCTCTTTTGTGTATAAAAAGCAGGACAAACACCCCTTGAGTCCCTGGGTGGTGTAAAAGGTCTTTCTTGGCTTTCGGCCTAAAGGCTGGCCACTGGGACACATCCAGTGTTGCCACAGAAAGATTACAGAGAAGCCATGGGGCAGGTCACGCTGTAACCCACGGGTTGCTGTGAGCCAAAGGCATCTTGACAGTAATGGACTTGCTTGTGGGTTTAACACTCCCTTTGGTGACTTCAAGTCAAGAGTGACCGACCCAGCTACCCGAACAGCTTTACTGCCTTGGAAGCAAGGGAAGGCATTGGGCATTCCACTGAATTCCAACTCACCTGAAATGCTGTTGTAGTATAGATTCTTTCCTCTATTGTACAGGGCATAGACATGTTTCAAAGAATAGTTGGAAAACAGAATAAATGGTACATCACCACGCCCCCATCCCAGTCCCTTCCCAATTCACTGTTAGCGGTTTGCTCTCATTCCCTTAGGGTTCCCCCTTGTAAGCCTCCCTTCTTGGGTTGGCATCAAATAGCAGGTGCCTTCTATGCATCAAGGTTTCCGAGGTCTGTGAAGAGCTGCCTCCCATCCACATCCCAGGTTGCTGCCTTCCCCTCCATGGGATGAGGTGGAAGGAGCAAACGGACATGTGTGGATTTGTAGGCAGACTGTAAATGTGCCAAGCTCCCTAATGTGGCATGCCCAAGTAGCCTGGAATCCTGAACTCTCCGGAGGAGGGCTGCATTCCCACCAGCAGTGCACCAGACCTTTGGACAACCACTGAAAGCTTCCCAGTGTCACCCCAAGACTCGGAAGGAGAGATTGGAGGTTCCCCGGGTGTTTTGGTGCCCTCTGGCAGCAGGCTCAACCATTCCTCTCTCTTGAAGAGTGGGAACCAAAGAAATGGAAGTGGGTTGGCGAAAGCAGGCTTACCTGAGGGTACAGCAGCAGTGCCGAAAGAAACAGAACCGAACATGTCTGCACTCGCCGGAAGGGTCTGAGATGAAGATGGGATAAAGGCATCACCTGGAGTTGCAGGAGTCTGTCAGGCAGAGAAAGACAAAGGATGCATGAGGCAGGCCTGGCTCAGCAGTCGCCCAGGGTGGGAAGTAGCAGGGGAAAGCGGCACTGAAGAAGTGAGTCATAGTCCGGGCCACTTATACGGTGTTTAGACCTTGGGCTAGTTAAACACACTATACAAGGGGCTTCACATTGTTTGTGGGAAAATTCCATGATTGTTCTCTGCCATCTTCCCCAAGAACCTCTTGAAGCCCCCTAATTTCCACAAAAGGCGGGGGTTCCTACTCTGCTGAAGCTGCTGTGAAGATTAAATGAGGTCATGCATTTAAACCACTCTGTGCCATGTTTAGACTTCTAGTACGTGCTCAGTAAACTATGGCCAAGATCATGACTATTTAGCTTATGCGTCTTGGAGAGTTTTTCAAAGCATCAAATGATCCCCTAATACCTGACTTTCGCCTTTGAGAGGTGGTCCATTCAAATGGACATACTTTCTCTTAGGACCTACTGTGTGCCCAGCTCAGGGCACTTAAACTACGACCAAGGAACACATGCTGACTAAATGGACACACTGTGTTTAGCAACTGGAGTATACACACTAGTGTCCTGGAACCTCCCAAAAATCTGCCTGCATTTTCACTTGCAAAAAGGACTAAATATTTTCAAGAGGATGACAACAACAACAAATGATGCCTACCCAGCTGAAAACCCCACAGTTCCCGGCTTGTCCTGCAACTCCAGAAAGATCTACCATATGCACTGATGGCCAGGGCAAGGGGTCCGGCAGTAAAGCCATGAGTATGACTTTGTTTTTTAAATGTCCCTACCTATTTAAAGGAGCCTTTTGCCGACAGTGAATACGTTTGTTCCATACCATAATATCCTTGTTTTTTTTTTTCCACCCTTGAAATAGACGGGGCAAGCAATTAATCCGGAAACCATGGCAATTAGACAAGGCCATTTTTAGACGAGCAGCTTGTGGGATGGACGGCATTGTTCTCAGGATTATTAAATACTCATTTGAGCTGTGCTTGGGTTCAGGGCCAGAAATACAGCCATAAGCTGCTGTGTTAAGCACTTTTAAACACAAGTCAGCGCTGGTCTCTTTCCCCCCATGTGACCTTGAGTGAACCATGTGTCTTTGCTGGGACTCAGTTTGCTCATCTCTAAAATGAGGGGGATGACATGAGAAGATGTCCCCAGAGATTGCCTAAGAGTGGAGGAGAGCGTGAGACTCCACAGAAGCGCGCAGCTTCCCTGGGGACAGAAGCTGCAGCCCCTCCCTCACAGCTGCTTTGGGCATCAGGTGCTGGGAACAGGGCAGCTGTGTCTGGATTCCCTGGTGGCCATTGTGGGAAGCAGGGTTTCGTGCCATCTGTCCTCAGTGGTAAGGTTACAGCCTTTTCTCTCTGAGGCGCATCTTGCCAGTGAACCATAGCGCCATCCCTGAGCTTGCACAATCGCCCAATGCCCAGAGGAGCTGCCCCTTCCTTGCAGTTTCAGCGGGTGCAGCTGCAGCTGACTGCTCTCTGCCCACCTCCGAGGAGGGGCAGGGAGGGGCTGGCCGGGTCTCTTTTCTTTGCAGTGGCTGCTGAGTTGCCTTTGAATGCGTCCAGCTCTCAAAGCATTGGGATGCTATTTGCCACTGGGGTTATTGCTCTTTTCTTCTTTTCCTGGTCAACTCAGGGCTTCTTGCAAACTCTGCCCCTTATTCCCTGGGATTGAGGTGCTGCCTGAGGCTCTGAACTGTGGTCCGGAAACCAATGTTTCCAGAGTAGCTGGGTGGGACCAGGTCATGGTCTGGGAAGGGAGGGGCTTGTTGGAAGGGAGGAAGGTAAGAGGAGAGGAAAGAAGGTAAGAAGGATGTGCACAGAGCAGACAGGGACAAGGGAGAAGACTCTTCCGTGACGGGACTGCCCACCTGCTTACTGGGTCCCAGGCTCTGGGCAGATGGTGACAAATACCTCATCCTGTTTCTTGTCATGTTGCATCCCCGCCCCCCTTTATTTCCAACTAGACCACAGCTTATCCAGGGCTCTTTAGCAAACAACCAGGAAACGCCCTGATCATCGCTGAATGCCTGGTTCTCGTTTGTTTCTCGTAACAGAGGCATGGATACCATAGAGCCTGCTCTTTGCTTTCGTGGTCAAAAGAATTGAGGCTGGGGGTTGCTGCACCCACAGTGTGTAAGTCTCAGAGGTGACATTTGCTAGCTGACCACTTGGGTGAGAGTCCAGGATCTCTCCACTACAAGAACATGGAGCAGGGGTGGCCAGAGGGGGTGGCGGGCAGAGTGCAGAAGGGACAGCATACTTACAGGGGGAGAGGTTATATCAGGAGGGGTGGACATGTCCCCAAAAAGTTCTAATTGGGTCACAGCCTGAAAAGACAAAAAGAGAACCATATGACCATGAGAAGTGGACCAGAAGGTATTGCTGGGCCCGTCATTAACAATTGGATGACGAGGAGGAAAAATGTTCCCATCCAAATGATGACCCCCAGGTGGCTATCGCTCTGCCTCACGATTCCAAAGGCAACAAAGCAGACTGGACTAGATTCCCTTCTCCCTCCAGTGCATCTGGTTGATCTTCCAGGCAGAGTCAGGGAGGTCTGTCCATTATCCTCTTTCCTGCGCAACAATGGGAGCGCTTCGCACTCATGCACCACCCAATGCCAGCAGCGCCCCAGGAGACAGCGACAGAGGCCTGGAGAGCAGTCCCATCATCTGCATCTCTGTCACCCGTGCATCGGCACATCCCAAATGCCACCGTGTGCTCCGGACTGCCAGGCATGACTTCAGGGTCATTACTCTGTCAATGTTCCCAATGCCACTAACCCTGAGAGGCAGGACTTATCACCCCCACCTTTATTGTGTCTCAGAGGTTTACAAGGACATATAGTCCAAGGCTGGAGAGCTTGCAGGTGGAGCCTGCAGTCAACTGGTTGCTCCTGAAAGAGCCCATCTTTAGAGAAAACAAGTCGGTGGGGGCAGGGCAGAAGCAACACATACTATTTAACACCAGCAACAGCATCAAAAGTCAGTCTAGCATATCCACTATTAATCACTCCTAGGAACTCCATCACTGCAGACACTGGATCATCTCGAGCCCCATCCATCATAAGAGAGTGGCTGACGAACTCCTTTAAGGTACACTTAGAAATTAATCTGCATACACTACCAGCTTCAGAGACAGTGGGGAGTCTATGGCAGGAGCCCAATGGCCTGACATTCTGCGAGAAATCTACAATCCTGTGCATTATGCAAACCCATCCACCGAGGGAAAACCATTCTGTCTTCACCTTCAGATTGATAATGCGAGTTTGCAGTAGGGGAGGGGGGCCAGGAAAGCATCACTGAATAGAAAGCACAAGGTGAGTCTGTCCTGCCCCCACAGGGTCCCTGCATGCTTGCTTTTCCCAGGTCATGGCTGGACCGCAATAAACCACGCACTTTCCCACTGCCAAGTGTGTGACCTTGAGGTGCTATAAAGGGCATACACTGGGGCTCTACCACCTCCAACTGTCGTGTGGGGCTGCAACTACTCAGAGCTGCAGGTTCCTTGGCTACGGAATGGAGATCAGAAAGGACAAAACTAATGGCAGGACTTTCTTTGACATTAGACTACCAGTGGTTTGTGCTGTTGGGTCCATGCTGACTCATAGTCACTGCACAGGACAGACCGGAAGTGCCCCCAGGTTTCCGAGGCTGGGATCCTCATGGGAGTAGCGTTTTTTTCCCACAGAGCTGCTGGTGGATTGAACAGCTCATCTTTCAGTTAGCACTGATGCAATTAGCTCATCCACCCCCAGGGCTCCCGAGGTTAAAAATTAAAACAAACCAACAAAAAAAACCACCTCACTGTCATTAGTTGATTCAGACTCATAGTGACCATACAGAACAGGGTAGAACTGCCCTTGTAGGTTCTGAGATTGTAATTCTTTATGGGAGTAGAAAGCCTCACTTTTCTCCTGCAGAGCAGCTGGTGGTTTTGAACTGCTGCTCTTGCCCAACATGCCACCCGTTACAACACCATGTCTCCTCAAGACCAAATGATAAACTAAACCAAAAGAGCCCACCCAGTCTAGTGCCATCACACTGACTCTGACTCAAAAGTCAAGCCAAACCCCAAACTCCCTTCCTTCCAGTCAGTTCTGACTGACGGAGACCCCATAGGACAGGGTAGAACTGCCCCATAGGGGTTTTCCATGACTGTAACTCTTTATAGGAATAGAAAGCTTTATCTTTCTCCCTCAGAGCTGGCTGATGGCTTTGAACTGGGGACCATGTGGTCAGTAGCTCAACTTGTAACCACTATGCCACCAGAGCCACCATTTCCCAGGCTGTGCACCTTGATGGGAGCAAACAGCTCCCTGGACCATTGGCTTAGCAGTTAGTAGGCCCAGGCTTAACCCACTGTGCCACCAGGGCTCCTGGGAGATCCCTTGTGAGAGATCAGTTCACTGTCATGAGGCAGGACTGGGAGCTGAGCTCTCTGTGAGTCGCGGTGAGAGCACTTCAAAGGAGGGGCCCAGTCTGCTCTGGGGAGAGAGGTTCCATGAGGCTTTTCTAAAGCAGATGGCTAAATCCTGGCAGAGAGTTAGCCAGGAACCAGAGAAGAGGTGGGGCAATCCAAGCAGATGAGACCTATAGCAGCCAAAGGATAGATGCTTGGAACAGCGGCGCAGGTTAAACAACATCAACCAGCCCCCAATCGGCAGCTGCCACGTTGATTCTGACTCAAACAGGGGACACCTGCTTGTAGGGTAGACCTGCTCCATGAGGCTTTCAAAGGTGGGACCTTGCAGAAGCCAACTGCCAGTCCTTTCTTCTGAGGTGCCTCTAAGTGCTTCACGCCACCAACCTTCTGAGTGGAGTGCTTAACTGTCTGCACCACCCAGGGTCTGCAGCACAGGAAGGTGGAAGTGTAAATACGCAGCTGGGGGCATTAGTGTGCTGGTGGGGTGGACAAGGACAAAGCTACCGTGGGCCTGATAGGCTAGTTCCTGTTTTATTTCTGCCATTACCAACTTGCTATCTGCCTTTGATAAGAGTGCAGGGACCCAGTGACAGAGAACAGGCGGGTCAGCCTTTGGGCGGTGGGGATGGTGGCATGTGCCCTTGAGTTGGCTCTACCTCCCAGGGGCGCTCTGTACAACAGAATGCAACAATGCCCGGCCCCGCGTCATCCTCACAAGTGTGGCTGCGTTTGAACCTACTGCTGCAACCACTCTGTCATGCCACCTTGTCAAGGGTCTTCCTCTTTGGAGAAAAGCCAGGCTTTTCTCAGGTGACACGACTTCTTTTTCAGGATGATGGCCTCGGTGGAAGCATACCCACCAGTCATTTTAAGCCTCTCCCAAATTCATAAAAGGAATACTTCTAGCTAATCAGAGCAAATTCTGCTTCAGGGCTTCCTGCCGATTAGAACTCCACACGTTTTAAATGGCCCGCAACTATTTCCAGTGTTAGGAAAATATTAAAATGAACTTCATAATTAAGTCATACAATTTACATTTCAAATGCGTTGAACTCATGGTACGCTTTTACTAACATCATAAATATAATTTATTGGCTAATTTTCTCCTTAAGCACAACTTTTAACATAACCTTCATTCTTGAGATAAAGACTTTTCTCCTGCTGGATGGTTTTCACTCAAGGATTAAACAAAAGAAAAAAATCACGTATAAAATCACATATAAAACATAGATTGCTATTTCATTCCATTGGGTTTTCCTGAGTTAATTAAATTTTATAGAAAAAGGGGGATTCCTAGGCCATAAAATTAAAAATAATTCTAATAACCATATGTGATAGAGAATCTGGAGTCATATCGACTTCCACAGTGCGCACCCCTCCCTCTCCTCGTGTTAACCCCAGTCCTTGTATTTGTAACCTAATAAACCATGTTCCCTCAGATAGTATTATTCTAATTAACCACGGCAAAGCCCTAAAGAGGGAAGACTAACAATTCATACTTGTAAAACACTATATAGTTGCCAACACATGTTATAATACATGACCATCATGGCGAATACTCTGGGAGTCCAAGAGGATGGCCACCCAGGTAGTCCTGCTGGTGTCAATACTTTGCACATGGACTGACTGATGCTGAGCATGGAGGTGACTTGGCAATGACTGGTCAGCTCAGAGAACCTGAGACTTGACCCAGAGGCTAGCAAGCATCCTGTTTATTGACAGGGCACCGTCCAAAATCTTAGTCTTCCTAAGGGATGAGAACCCAGCTCCACGATATTCTATAACCAGAGCCAAGGGATACCACCGTGCACATCCATCCAAAAGACTTCACAGGCATGCCTTTCACTAGTGACATGTCACAAGTCTTTGGCTGAAGAGAGATGCAGCTGTAGGCGTGGTTTTTTTTCTTTCTGTCTTTAGGTCCAAGGGCATTTTTCAGGAGAAAGAGAGGGACATTGAGAACTGTCCACACCGGGGAAGGTGATGTAGAGGTCATGTAGAGATTGAAGGGGAAGGTCACGTAGAGATTGATGGGAGGTCATGTAGAGATTGAAGGGGAAGCCCCTCCGTGTCACCATCAGGCCTGCCTCCACCCCCTCAGCCATTCTTTCCTAGGAACAATTGACCGTTGCCTCCAAATATGCAGAATTCTGGACACTGAGCCTATCTCCTAGGCCCCTCTGTTGGAGAAATTCTGTAGGCCTCATGGGTGTAGGCGGAGATGTCATGGGTTGACCCCCACAACACCCTCTCATAGACCCACCTCCTCTGTGCCATTTAGAAAATGGATGGGCACCCTGCTGTGTGCATCGGCTACTGGGTCATGGGCAGAGCCTGTCAAGGTCAGTAAGGCCCATCCCCAGCCTCTCGAGGTGACTGTTTCGCAGATCTGCAGACTACCCGCACCGTCAATGCAGGGCTATCAAGGAGTGACGTACAGGAGATTAAGAAAGCAGCCGCCTCCGCAGGACCTTAGCACGTGCTCCTCCTCTTTCTTCAGAACGCTTTTTCCTTCCCTTCGTGCCCTTTCTGTGCCTCCTTCAGGACATGAACGAGCAGGCATTCTTCTTCCCCGGGGAAGTGTTTTTGCCAACATCCCCATCCCACTGTGATTCTCCTGTCTCTGTGATTCTTCCCTTCAAGGAAGTACTACCAGTACCCTGAAAACCTTCAAAACCCCCACCGAGGCCTGAGCACAGCCTAGCCTTGCAAAAGCTGTCCAGGTGAATCTAATTTGCAGCCACGCTCTTCCTGCTGATTCCATTTTGACTCGTGATGACCCTTTAGGACCGAGGAGACCGGCCCGATACGGTTTCCGAGGCTCTAGATCGTAATGGACGCAGACTGCCCACATCTTTCCCCCTTGGAGGGATGGGTAGTTCAGATGGCTATCTGTTTGGTT